GCCTTTATTCACCAAACCAGTTAATAAATGAAGACAACACAACAAATGATTAATATTCACATGAATATTTTGCTCCGAATCTGATAAATCTGACCAGTTTTCTACTAATTTAGCGCAAATACGATCTCTGTAGTGTGTAAATAAAGAATTAAAAAGCTTTTCGGTGCTGGCTCTGTCTGACATGGTATTTTTAATTTTGGAAATAACGGATTTACTAAATGGTCCAGCAATGTCCTCGAGATCAACCAAAATTTCGGTTAATTTCGTTAATGTAGTTTGCGCATTTCACGAAGACCAAGAATAGGTGGCGTATGTTCAGTCAATTAGAACCAAATTTTGTAGTTTCGTCTGTATATAATGTGATATGTTTCGCTGGCTTAAAGGTTTCCGAAGCATGTTTTAAAGATACGCCGACGCGCTGACATGATATTCTTTGAATTGTAGATTTTGATAAAGTGTAATTAGATTTTAATCCCGCGATAGCCAAACATGCGGTTATAACCGCTGCTACGTTATCATTCGAAACTTTTAGATTTTTAAGTTCCATGGTCAAATTATGGCATTCTGAGATGCATTTTTGATTTAATATCATACATAATTACTTCTTTCTTCTTAAAAGGTTTGGACTTGCAACCATTTTATTTTACCTGCCAATTGTTTTTTTATTTTCATTTTTAGCCTTCATGCGAATCATTTCTTTTTTAGTCTTCCTAAGTCGATTTTTTAACTGTGCGATTGCGCTTTTATGACATTTTGACAATTGCCGCAAATATTTATTTTTCCTACATAAATCAGTCATGGTCGCATCGGCAGATGTCTGAGTCTCTATAAATTAAATTCACTAGTATCTGCCGATGGAGTCTCATCCGCTATCCCGGGAACAAATGGGGTGTCAAAAATATAGATTTATTGGACTACCCAGCTTCCTAGTCTTTGTCTTCAGTCTTACCAGTCTATTTTAAATATCTTTGTCACCAAACGTCACACAGTTGTCATGTAAAGAAGTTATGATAGACCGATGCCCAGTAGTTGTCGGGAATTTATTAACACAATGCCTAGTATAAGGCTATTTGTGATTTTTGCCATGGGTAGTTTTGTTGCGGTAATCAAATCATAGGGGTACTTGTCCAATCCAATGCTGGATAGCAAATCATTGGTGGACGCCATCTTGCAGGGCTCAGTCGCAGATCTAGAAAAATGTCCGTCGAGAAACTCTTAAGGGCAAAAAATAATTAAATAAGATACTCTAAAAATAAAGACTACAAATACGAATTTTATTTCGGTTATTTTCTGGTCTCAAGTAGTTCTGCGTTTTTAAAGCTAGCAAATATTTATTTCCTAAACTTACGAAAGCGGCACGTAAACGAAGGTTGTAACCACCAAATGAAAGTAAATCTCAAAGTGTTGTAAAGAGTTTATCTTGCCGTGCTCATGAGTTTGAAAGTTAGAAAAGAAACTAAGCTATTACAGCTAGCTCTGTACTAAAATCGCAAAAATCAAAAATTAAATCAACGAGTGCAATCGAAATTTTTGTTCACGTTCGCTGTAAAATAACCCCGGAAGTCGCATCGCGTAATAGGTGTATTTTTTTACTCGGCTTTTTATAATAATACTTGTTTGTTTAAAAGCTATTTGTGACGTATATTTGCTGCGATATCTGACTTCACGTGCGCGGGATTAATCTTTGCTCACTCCAGAAAATCTCCTTGATGCGTCATTTGTGTTTTCGCTAAAATATCTTACGGCTTAATACAAGCTCAAAGTGAAATCAAATTGATTGTTTAACATTTAATTTAGAAAACAAAATTGAACACAATAATTCTGATTCTACTTTCAGTGACAGTGATGGACTTGGTATATATCTTGATTACGTTCAATAATCAGTGTGACCGGCTTCGTTCGTTCCTAACGTTTTACGTCCACTTCCACCTAAAGTGACCGGCTGATAAATACATGTATATTAATTTGTATTGGCACCAGTGCCTTACTGCTGGCTGCGGAGAACGCTAGATCGGAGACGGTCCTGCGCATTTTATGACGTCATACTGTATTTTTTATTAAAGCTACGTTTCAACAATGATTCTCTTGTCATTATTGTGCGTGATAGCGACAAAACATTCATTGTTGAAACGTAGCTTTAATATTGAAATACAGTAATTGCTATCAATAAATCATAATTCTTCAAGATGTGGCAACCAACACTGATTGTGTGTTATCTGTTTTGGGGAGGGGTGTGTATATTACCCAGGGGCGGAACAACTTAGCCTACGACTAATTTTAATGTTATTAGTAAATTGCTTGGCTAAAACATAAATAGAATGTAAGCAACTGATAAATTACTCAACTTCAAATATGTTTACAGTACAAAAATATAACATAACGTTTGCCTACCTGTTACTAAAATTGCATTAAAAATGCAGAAAATCAGAAAACATCTAAACCACTTCATCTCTAGACATCAAATGTCAATCTGTGATGTATCTAATATTAATTTCAAACTAATATTAATGTACGTCTGATAAGGTTGGCATTAAATGAAAAGATTTTAATAACCAAATCATTCATTACCACCTAAAACTATTGAATTTGAACCACTTTTCATTTAAAAGATATTTGAACTGTTATGTATATGAAGGTTGTGGACGAATGCTTCAAAAGATCAATTTCGCGTTCTCACACTACCTAATTAAAATATTATATGGCAGTTATGGCTCTCATGGTCCTGATTTTTTGCATCGACACTACAAAAATCATCATCACGTTAAGAAGAAATTCTGTTCTTATGGACAGATGACAAAGGCGGTGGGTGAGGTGGGGTGAATAGGGTCCATCCACATAACTACACAATGACCCATGTGGCCCCTTCACGTTCGCTAGTGAGCGCATCGATCCGACTATTCCTTCAGTCCGTCATCAAATTGTTAACGCAATAGAGGCTCCCGTTTTTATCGGGTTGTCTCTAAATTTGGTGCGGGGCATTGGGTCATTAGTGTACGAGCCCTATCGATTCTAGGCGGAATGCGATCTTTGCCGAAAACCCCTCTCTCTCTCTCTCTCTCTCTCTCTCTCTCTCTCTATCTCTCTCAGTTCCAGGGTTGCCGCCTCAAGTCGCATTAATCGAATTAATTAATTCTTTTAAACGAAAGTTTACATCCGAAGCCTGAACAAACTTGTCATTCGGAAATTTTAAGTTTATTTTTTGTTTTTAAAGATTTCTGAAAATGGTTCTCGTTTTGAGCGTTTGACTTTTCTTCCCAGGAATCAGGGTCTAAATAAAACGATCTCCATGGAAGCAATCTTTTAATCTATTTGTCATGGCGCATTCTTTGTCGCTGCCAATGACAAGTACATTATCCCTTAATTTGGCCCGGTGTAGGGAAAGAGACTGTTAAGTTGACATTTCGCCATCCCATTGCGAAAATAAGGGAACTAACATAATTCGGTTGTCATTTGGACGTCTATTTAGTACATCTCGATATTTATAAGAAGTCAAAAAACATTTCCCTGGGTTAAAAGTCTTATATACTCTTAATATACCCCCGCCCGTCCCTTCCTCTGAACTATGGAGCCGAATCGTTGTCATATTACGGGAAAACATTATGGTTGAAATTGTAGAATTATCATAGTCACAATGGTAAAAACATGAAGTCATTTACGTACAGAATATGTCTCAAAACGTTTATTGATAAGGACGCTTTACAGTTCAAGGTGCAAAAAACTTATATTTTACAGTTGTGTGTGAGGGGATCCATATCCGGATATTAGAGGAATAGTTTCCTTCCATATAATTATCAATATACAAATCACAAACATGTACAGGAGTTAAATACACAATCGGATTAAAATACAGATCTATATTTCGTTTCGTTTTTTTTTTTATACTTTCGATGACCTACACTACATGAAGATCTGGCAAGTTTTACTGGAAAGTTGTGTCAGGGGTCGTACGAGCAGCCTTTGACCTTATGACGTCAGACACTGATTAATCAATCAGTGTTGACGTTCTAGTGGTTTACCCTTAGTTCCGTGTATGAACTCGCCGTAACAGACCGTTTCATTGGCTAATCCCTCACCTTAACCAAAATGCGGGTGATATAACAACTCTTCTAGATTCTAGTGTAGTAAAGACAAGTAAAACGCCAAGAACTTGCCTTAACAAACCGTTTCATTGGCTAATCCCTCACTTCAACCAGCAAACGCCGGTTATATAACAACTCTTCCAGATCCTAGTGTAGTAAAGACAAGTAAAATGAAATTTTGAACTATAAAAAACGAAACGAAATAGGATCAGATCGTTATATACATATGCTGCATTACACAACGATGAAAATATAAATATTTATCAATATCAAATTTCGCATGTTTAAAGACACAAGATATAAATGGAAATAGTTAAAAATGTAACGATAGAATACTAAATATTAATTAATTACATAATTATGGTGCAATAAACAAATTAATTAAAATGCGAATAGACATCAATATCATATTTCACGTTCATTACAATACATAAGAATAATGATATATTATGATATATAAGATCTATTACATTACAATACATAAGAATAATGATAATATGAAATTACACGTTATATATATCATATTTCACGTTTATTACAATACAACAATACATAAGAATAACAATACAAAATTACACGTTATATATATATATATATAAACCAATATCATATTTCACGGTTATTACAATACATAAGAAAACGATAATACGAAACTACACGTTATATATATAAAATAAAGACTAGATTAACAATTAGAAAAAACAACAAATTAAGTACATGTACATGATACGAAATTACACGTTATATATATAAAATAGACTTGATTAACAATTCGAAAATACAACAAATTAATTACACGTTATATATATATATATAAATAAGACTTGATTAACAATTCGAAAATTACACGTTATATATATATAAATAAGACTTGATTAACAATTGGAAAATACAACAAATTAAAGTATATAAAATCACGGATCAGGGATTAATTAAAGTATACACCAAGTAAAACGAGAAAGAGATAGAAATGAGGTTTAACATCCACTCGACACAAACAAGGTCATTTCGGGACTAACATATGGTTCAATTTTATTTCAATAATTCGCTAGCGCGTGGAGGTCTTTAGCAGCCGGGGAAAACCGGGGGACCCAGAGAAAACCCACGAGGTGGGACAGGCGACCCTACTCCTTGTCACATACAACCGGGGAATCGAGACCACACCAGCTGACTCAATAACAGACCTTATGATACAACGCGCACGCGTTAACCGTTCGGTCATCCACCCACGAGTAAAACGGGGTTAGGGTCATATATACAGTAGGCTATGTAGTAGTCCTTTACATGTATTGTGCTGTGATGCCGAAAAGTAGGACATTAAAACCCCATTTCATTTTATGTACATCTGTATAATCAATTTCTTAGCAATTTTAAATATATCTGGGTCAATGAAACGTCGGACATGTTTTCATTCCAATAATTGTCGATTCCAGAACCATCCATTGTTCCCGTTAAAAAGCCACTGGTGCAACCGAAATGACTACCATACCACCATCCACCTCCAAATCTCTTGGGACACTCCAAGTCTCCAGTATCATCAGCATCATACGTAGAGAAAGGATTGTTGTTCAAGTTGATAAAACCAGTCAAACTATCACCACATGGTATCTCAACATCAGTGTAGCCGCCGATATCAAGTTTATAAGATGTTGATTTATTACCAATGGTAAAGTTGTAGTAATTACTGATGCACATTGAAGCATTAGATTTGTACAGGTGAACACCAAGTGTGTAGGTACTATTAGGATTATCAAGTAGATACAGAACATTTTGCAAACCTAACCATTTGTTAGAAGCAACATTACCGAAACCCTCTTCATATTCTGCCAGTGTTCTATTAAAGTTCTCGCTTGAACAGTACTTATTACGATTGAGTATTCCTGTCCAGCCACCATCGACAAATGTACACAGTACCTCGAAAGAATTAGGAGATGTAACTGGTTTTATGTTAGTCAATACATCGTTAGTTGAATTTAAGCCTTTCTGGAAACCTTCTGTACAGTCTGTAAATTAACATACAATAACATAAAATTAGACAAAATAAAATGGGGCTTAAAGTCCTACTGTTCTGCTCCGACTTGGGTTAATGAAGACAGGTATACGCAATACAGTTTCTATGAGGGAAATTTTGCCCCGGCAGAGGCACTGTGGTCTATTGAAACATAACGATAGATCATAACGTGTACGTGTTTAGTCAGCCGACAACCACGGACCCAGTATGACTGTATGTACTATAATGAAGATGAGAGAGAGAGGGGTCATTTCAGGACTATCATATGGTTCAATTTTATTTCAATAATTCGCTTGCGCGTAGGGGGTCTTTAGCAGTGGGAGTAAATAGGAGGTCCCAGAGAAAACCCACGGGGTTGGACAGGCGATCCTACTCCTTGTCACGTACAATCGGGGAATCGAAATCATGCCACTGATCTTATGATACAACGCGCACGCGCGACCTAACCCCGCTATAACGAGGATGGATTTATAACAAGTAGTAAACGGTGTATCATAACTTTACGTGTAAATGGTATCTTGACAACGGTGTCCATAGTAACCTAAAGGACAAGTAGTAAACACTGTATCATAAATTTATGTGTAATGGTATCTTAACAACGGTCTCCATTGTAACCTAATGGACAAGTAGTAAACACTGTATCGTAACTTTACCTGAAATGGTATCTTGACAACGGTCTCCATAGTAACCTAAAGGACAAGTAGTAAACACTGTATTATAACTTTACCTGTGATGGTATCTTGACAACGGTCTCCATAGTAACCTAAAGGACAAGTACAACCGGAGTTCTCACATCCTATATTCTGTAGAAAAGAAACAAGAAAAAAAACAATGCGCATTATAAATATGCAGATATTGATGTTCTACCATTTTTACATGAGTACATAGCTTTTCTTACATATTGGTGCTACACTTTTTACATAATACATATTGGGAGCCACGGTGGCCAAGTGGGTAAGACGCTGGCCCGCTAGCCTGGAGGTCGCGTGTTCGATCCCTGCATTGCCCGAGAGACTTCATCGGGAATTTCCGTCGTGGTTTGCCCTTGTCAATGGTGCAGAACGGAGGGCCTGACAAGAACAGCTGTCTAGTCGTTCGGATGGGACGAAAAACCGAGGACCCTTGTATACATTGGCATCGAATTCGCATTTTCAAGGGTTCGTTTACGTGCACACCAACGAGTATATGGGTGGACATCTTTTGTACCGTTGGAAGGACTACACGCTTTTCCTTAACAGACCGTCAGTCCTGAATCCCTGACAAAGAAATGAATTGAAATAAATGGGGTTCAAGGTCCTACTGTTCTCCGACTGGGCTAATGAAGACAGGCAAACACCATACCATACAGTGTACCATGATGGCAATTTGGCCCGGCAGCCGCACTACAGCCTACTCTTATATCGAATTCTGCAGAGGGATCTTTTACGTGCACGCCAATGTGTACACAGGACCTCAGTGTTTTGTCCCATCCGAACGACTAGACAGCTACCTTTGTCAGGCCCTCTGTCCTGTACCACTGACCAGGGTCTACAGTTATAAGCTAGTTGACCGACATTTTAAGTCTTAAATCGACGATTTAGTCGAAAACATTTCGCCTGTTCAACCTCGTGGGTTTTCTCCGGGTCCTACGGTTTCCTCCCACTGCTAACGACCTCTATGCGCAAGCAAATTAATAGAATACAATTGAACCGTATGTTAGTCCCAAAATGACATACTCTCTCTCTCTCTCTCTCTCTCTCTCTTTCTCAGCATACAATACAGGTAGTAGCTTTTACAGTTACCTTTGTCTGTATATGATCGATCACCGCCCTGCAGCCTAACGAATGTTACAGTAGGGCGTTAAACTCTCTCTCTCTCTCTCTCTTAGAGTTAACTTTGTATATGGTCGAGCACCATCCGACCTAACGAATGTTACATAGTTGAGATAGATAAGTTGACATGTAACCTACTAACCTTTATGTAACAGGAACAACCAGTTGTATCACCAGACATAGCACAATCTTTACCATCTTGATATAATCTACAGGATGAATCCAGCTTACAATAGAAATATCTTTTACAGCTTATATTCTCTGTACAGGCTTGGGCACAATCCATTTTCCGTGAAACAAAAATGGTTTCTAGAAATGTACTAGGATCACAAGTATTGATGACGACATCAGATTTACTGTATGAAGCAAAACGATGACTACTGGCAGCTGAAATAAAACCCTAATCCAATCTTACAAATACATTGATGAGCAAGGAGGGTCATGGTGGCTAAGTGGGTAAGACGCGGGCTCGCTAGCCTGGAGGTCGGTTGTTCGATCCCTGCATTGGCCGAGAAAGTTCATGGAGATTTTCCGGCTTGGTTCCCCCTTGTCAGTGATGCAGGACGGAGGGCCTGACAAGGACAGCTGTCTACTCATTCGGATGGGACGAAAACGAAAAACCGAGGACCCGTGTATACATTGGCGTGCACGTAAAAGATCCATTGACAGTTGGAATTCGATATAAGAGTAGACCGCACTGCCGCTGTCCGGGCAAAATTTCCCTCCCAGCACACTGTCTGGCATATGCCCGTCTGCATTAGCCCAGTTCGGAGCAGAACAGTAGGACGTTAAACCCCAATGAATTCATTTCACAACATTAGGATCTGGAAGAGTTGTTATATAACAGGCGATCTAGTTGATGCGAGGGATTAGCCAATAACGGTTTGTTATGGCGAGTTTTTGGCTTGAGGCGCACGGAACAATGGGTAACCCAATAGAAACATTAACCCTGATCGTTTCATGAAATGTCCGACGTCATAGAGTCAAAAGCCGCCCGTATGACCTCTGACACGACCTTCCACCACAACCGGTCAGATCTTCATGTAATGCAGGCCATCGAAAGTATAAAAACACGAAACGAAATATAGATCTGTACTGTAGATGAATATGTTTTATATCATAATTCTCTAGTTGCGTATAATCTGTAACCCCTCTACAAATTATATAGAAGAGTGGGTCACGTCGACGAGAGCCCCGTAGCCGTGGGAGGGAGGGGGGTGGCCGAATGGTTAGCACGTGCCCGCTGTATAATAAGGCCTGTCACTGAGTCAACTGGCGCGGTTTCGAATCCTCGGTTGTACGTGACAAGGAGTAGGGTTGCCTGTCCAACCTCGTGGGTTTTCTCCGGGTCCTTCTGTTTCCTCCCACTGCTAAAGAACCTTACGCGCAAGCGATTTATTGAAATAAAATTAAGCCATAAGTTAGTCCCGAAACGACCTAGTCTGTGTCGAGTGGACGTTAAACCCCATCCTCCCCCCCCCCACTGTAGCCGTAACAATAGCTACTGAATAGCGTGACTACTACTACGTCCATGAGTTGGGTTTTTACCACATAAATTTCATAACGAAATGATACGAACCCAAACAGGATGGTTGAGTACAGTTCATAGTTTCTGTAAAACTACCATTACAACTAGCTCCACCATTAGCTGGTGTAGGATTGTTGCATTGCCTGTTTCTGTCCATAATTCCTTCGCCACATGAAACAGAACATGAACTGTTTGTCCAAACACTCCATCCACCATCAATCGCTGTAATAATAATAAATATTATTTAACGGGTTCGATATAAATTCTTCTTTGAATGATACAGTACAATAATGCGTTTATCCTAAGCACGTTCAATATCTGTATCGTATTTAAACATACATGATCCAAGAGCTAAATCTGTCTATTGCAGGTCTTTCTTTAGGCCTGAAATGTTATCTAAATTATCACACATACATTATGCAACAGCTACATCTGCCTATTTAGGCCTGATATGTCATATAAATTAATTAACATATCTAGACCGTAATCAACGTGCGATGCCATCTCTAGCCTACGATATTTAGCTGATTGGAATACATTTTGTGAACTATAATTAAACGTAAAAATAGATACTCGAGACTTTTTTTTATCATAACGACTTTAGTAATGATGACCGAGACTAGCCGAAAATTCAAAAGCTAATATCTCGGTTCAGTGTTGAGCAATTGGAGTGAAATTTTTTAGCATATTCTATTTACATTATCTATTTTTTAACTATTATAGCGAGAACTGCCCTCTTTTTATCCAATCTCCCATAATGTCTGTTTAATACACGCTTCCAGAGATGTAATATCACAGCCCTATCTACCATCAATCCTTTTATATGTTATGTAGTAGAGGCCATCGAAGGTATAAAAAAACGAAACGAAATATAGATCTGTATTTTAATTATATTGAGAAAATTGGCAATGGGTGGGGGTGGGGGTGGGGTGGGGGGGTGTCGCTCTCGCATTTTTGTCCCCGGCCTTTCGACAATTAGGCGAAACAGATATAAGCAATTTGATTGATCGAGAATTTTGTAAACAGTACCGTAATTAAGTTAGCATATTCAAACGTGGTGAGGATACTTGTTGTGTCAATGGGCTATTTTACTATATAATATATTATAGTGCTGTTTGGGGTTATTTCAGGCGGATTGGGTGGCCGAATGCTTAACGCGTGCGCGTTGCACCATAAGGTCTGTCAATGAGTCATGTGACGGGGTTTCGAATCCGCGCTTGTACGTGACAAGGTGTAGGGTCTCCTGTCCAAACTCATGGGTGTTACCCGGTTTACATATTAAAATTACTTACCTTGTTCAAAACAATCACACGACACCACTTTATTATGGAACAGAAGAATAGAAAAGTCATTGTTATGATGATATTTATTTAGATATTAAAGATACATTGGGGATACTCGATTGAACGTTCCGGAATTGAATTATTTGAATTCCCCAAATAGGGACAATCGAGTAAAAGGGAGATTTCGCGCAAAAACGCATGCGTCGAATGCATAAGATAATATCCCAACCAAGCATGACAGCTGAAACATATTCGTTGTTTATAATTACGTCACGATTCTACTCACACCAACTCCCTTGTGGGGTCTGACAGAACCGTGACAGGACTGAATACCGCCCAACTCAATAGTAATTTTCTCATTTCGGAACGTTCCGGACTGATAATCGAACATCCCGATTATATAAGAGCTAAATCTTGGCTTCAAATGTTTTATACATAAAACATTTATTCACTGGAAAAGCCCATAATCAACTCTCTAGAACAGCGATTCTCCACCAGTGTCCCCTGGTACACAGGTGTACCGCGAGATCTTCCTAAGTGTGCCGCGGAATTTTGAACGGCACACTAAGAAAATGCGAAAAAAAACACATCATCCCAATTGAGTATTCACTGGTGTTCATAGCTGTGTTTTTCATTATTTAGTTCGAGTCAGTCTATAACTAGTCTCTGTCTACGGTTGTATGCTGTCTGACTTACGATGTTTTTATTTTGAAAAATTCAAATATTATTCGTATATATTTAGCCAGGTGTGCGGTTATTTTTTCATGTGTTTCAAGGTGTGCCATTGGCAAAAAAAGGTTGAGAACCTCTGGCTCCGATTTTAAGTAGATTAAACCACCGCGGTCCTTTAAGTGTATAACGATAAAATAGGAAATCGAGACTTGATCTGGATTGTCCAGTACCGTTGCTGCTACCATAATAAACTATCTACGCTTCCATTGGTCAAAACTTCAAAAACTCATAACTTCGCACGAAATAAAAGTACTTTGGCTGAAATTTTTAATATATGAATTTTTCATTATCTATTTATGAACTGTTATTTCAAGAACGGCCAGTTCTTTACCTGACTCTTACATAATGCATCTTTAACTGAACTCATTCTTACATAACTGAACTGTTATCTGACTCTTACATAATGCATCTTTAACTAAGACGATTGAAAAATAAAAACCGTCTCATGTGCTTATGTTTATTCATTATTGTAATTCCCTTTGTTATTTGGCTTGTGCTGCAGATCTATACCATACTCTTTCAGAGTATCACTTATGTATGGATATATCACGACTTCTGTAAAGTAACTATAAACTCTGTCATATTATTCTATACGGGTTATTGATATACGTATGGATATATCACGACTTCTATAAAATAACTATAAACTATGTGATATTATTCTATAAGTATGGATATATGACGACTTCTATGAAGTGACTATAAACTATGTGATATTATTCTATACGAGTTAGTGATATATCACGAATTCTATAAAATGACTACAAACTCTGTCATATTATTCTATACGAGTTAGTATAATGGTTCGCATACCGAGAAATACTTTACCCCGTCATATTATCATGTTATAAGCTTACCAGGTTGAGACAATCTGAATAAAACACAGATCCTATTTCGTTTCGTTTTTTTATAGTTCAAAATTTTGTTTTACTTGTCTTTACTACAGTAGGATCTGGAAGAGTTGTTATATAACCCGCGTTCTGGATGATGTGAGGGATTAGCAAATTTGGGTAAACCACTAGAAACACCAACGCTGATTGATTAAACACGGTCTGACGTCATAAGGTCGACCGTCGCTTGTATGACACTTGACGCGACCTTCCACTACAACTGGTCAGATCTTCCATGTAGTGTAGGCCATCGAAAGTATAAAACAGGAAAACGAAACGAAATATAGAACTGTATTTAAATCGGATTCAGGTTGAGATTTCGTTGGCTCGTTAGCCTGGAGGTCGGGTGTCCGATCCCTGCATTGGCCGTGAAACTTCATCCAGATTTTCCTGCGTGGTTTCCCCTTGTTAGTGATGCAGGATGGAGGGTCTGACAAGGACAGCTGTATAGTCGTTCGGATGGGACGAAAAACGAGGTCCCGTGTACACATTGGCGTGCACGAACAAGATCCCTTGGCAGTTGGAATTCGATATAAGAGTAGGCGGTAGTGCCGCTACCCGGGCAAAATTTCCCTCATAGCACACTGTATGGCGTATGCCCGTCTTCATTAGCCCATTTTAGGAGCAGAACAGTAGGACGTTAAACCCCATTTCATTTTATTTCAGGTTGAGATTTCGACAATTAAATATAAAAATAATATGACTTAGTTAGTACTTACTTTGATCTAACAATGTAGGGAACCATACAACGTCATCAATATTAGAGGTATAGTTCAGAAACTGCATTATGGCCATTTCACCAGAGTAATATTCATTTTCTATGAAAATGCCATCTGAACTACAGTTATATATGGACTCATCATCTACTGTTAATGTAACGCCATCACATGATTCACCACTCAAATACAGGTAATGCAAATAGAATGTGTCCAAGACCGTTATATTACAGGAACACGTTAAACTATTAGTTGGGGTTAATTTATCCGATAAATACAATTGTGCATAATATGTGCCATCTAAGGTTGTTGTATCTACGATGTAGTCACTATCCAATACTGTAAATAGTTCATTAGTTTACATTTATTATACTGAATGGTCGAATGGTTAGCGGTGTGCCATTGAGTCAACTGGCGTGGTTTCGATTCCCAGGTTTTGCGTGACATAGAGTGTGGTCGCCTGTCCAACCTCGTCGGTTTTCCCCCGGGACCTCCAGTTGCCTCCCACTGCCAAAGATCTCTTCGCGTAAGTGAATTATTGAAATAAAATTGAACCATATGTTATTCCCCAAATTATCTAGCGTGTGTTGAGTGGACGTTAAACCCATCTCTCGCTCTCTCTCTCTCTCTCTCTCTCTCTCTCTCTATCTATCTCTGATATTTATAAATAGTTTTATCAGTGGCTTTTTAGTACTGTGATCTCTGTAAGCTGGTGATAAGTTATACCTATACCTCCTCCCAATCTGATTAAAACACAGATCCTACTTCGTTTCGCTTTTTATAGTTCAAAATTTCATTTTACTTGTCTTTACTACACTAGGATCTGGAAGAGTTGTTGTATTACCGGCGTCTTGGTTGAAGTGAGAGATTAGCCAATGAAACGGTCTGTTACGGCGATTTCTTGGTGTGCCATGCAGGGAAATGTGGGTAAACCACTAGAAACGTCAACGCTGATTGATTAATCAATGTCTGACGTCACATGGTCAAAAGCCGCTCGTACGAACCATGACACGACCTTCCAGTACAATTGGTCAAATTTTCATATAGTGTAGGCCATCGAAAGTATAAAAAGAACGAAACGAAATAAAGATCTATATTTTAATCAGATTTGTGGGAAAGTGTCTTCAAGCGTATATCAATTCAACGACAAAACTAGCAGTGTGGTTTAATGGTAGATAACGAGGCCTTAAGAAATATATTGCAATAACAGGAGGGACGTTAGTCCCCGTGTTGTTTCAATATATTCCGCAATGTCTTAAGCTCTAGACCATTAAACAACTTAAAATACAGACACTCACAGGTGCTTTGCAATTAAATACGTCACGCAGGTCCAATATTTCATCTTGTATAAATAATGTACGCTTGACACATTGCCCGTACCATTATTTGAAATAATTGTACGACATCGATTAGTGCTAAATGATGAGGCCAGCTCACTTTTTCGTCATAGGTCACGAGATGTAAACAAGGCTAGCGCTAATCCCAGCCCTAACCCTAAACCTGGACCTAGTCCCAATGCTTATTCTAACCCTAGCCTACAATCTGGCCAACAATCACGTGCCCTAAACCTATTTACTACATCTCAGCGACCTTGACAAAAATTGAGCTGGCCTTAACTTTTAAATTTAGAGGTATGCCAACATCAAAGGGTGACGTCACATACAATTATAATACTACTTACCACAGGAATACATAATCTCTACCAACATTAGAAATATAAGCCGAGGTCACAACATAAATTGAGCTGGCCTTAACTTTTAGATTTAGCAGTACGCTAACATCAAAGGATGACGTCACATATGTATTATAATACTACTTACCACAGGAATACATAATCTCTACCAACATTAGAAATATAAGCCGAGGTCACAACATAAATTGAGCTGGCCTTAACTTTTAGATTTAGCAGTACGCTAACATCAAAGGATGACGTCACATATGTATTATAATACTACTTACCACAGGAATACATAATCTCTACCAACATTAGAAATATAAGCCGAGGTCACAACATAAATTGAGCTGGCCTTAACTTTTAGATTTAGCAGTACGCTAACATCAAAGGATGACGTCACATATGTATTATAATACTACTTACCACAGATATAGTCGTACTCTACATAATCTATACCAGCATCAGGAATATAAGCCGAGGTCACAACATAAATTGAGCTGGCCTTAACTTTTAGATTTAGCATTACGCTAACATCAAAGGATGACGTCACATATGTATTATAATACTACTTACCACAGTTATAGTCGTACTCTACATAATCATAATCTATACCAGCATCAGGAATATAAGGCGAGGTCACAGAACAGGATTGTTGATAAGAGCAGGCTTTGAAAACTGGCAAGGAATCATGTTGACTGACATTTTGTTTTGTATCACTGATGTCATATGAACAACACGGACTAGCTGTGCAATCATCTTCATCTTGTAGTGGTGGACAGGTTGTAGGTGGTGTATTTTTGGTAAAGTAATATAAACTTCGAATATGGATTTTAGCGCCAGAACAAGTTATGGTATGATTAGAACACGGAGACCCGGGTTGTCTGTAACAGCCATAGGTTTTATCTGATACCATTACTATAATAAAATACTCAGCCAAATTAAAAACTTGACACTGATGAATTTCCCCAAAAAAATTTTCTGGTAAGTCAAATAAATTTTAAAGTATTTCTAACGATAGTAAGTAGTAAGAAGCCTTTAATTTTATAAAATTGTAAAGTCACGTGGATCACGTGACTTTTGAGCATATAAAGATGAAAAACCTGAAAAACACGTGCAAACACAAACTCGTGAGGTCAATCGATGCAAGTTTGCTTAAACTGAACACGCACACGTAATTTGAACTGGAAAAACAAATTAAAATTGTTATTTTCATCTTTGTTAGAAAATGCAGCGCCATTAATCTTAGAATGAGAGTCCTTCAAACTGGAACTATTGCCGACCGCCCAAGAGCGGGAGCGCCACGTGTGACGTCACTCCAGGAAGATCAAGCAATACGATTACGTCATCTTAGAAACAGATTTGTCACTGCAACCTCCACAAGTAGAGAGATGTTTGGTGGACGGGTAACTGCACAAACTGTTCGAAATCGCTTGCAGACTGCTGGTCTTCGTGCCCGGGGGCCTATAATAGACCAATATTGACACCTCTTCATCGCCGTAACCGACTTGTGTGGGCCACAAGACACATAAGATTTACTCAAAGACAGTGAAATTCGGTTGTCTTTAGTGACGAATCTCGTTTCACTTTGAGATTTGCCGATGGCAGGGTCCGAGTGTACCGCAGACGAGGTGAACGTTACGC